AGCATCAGTGTCACCACCCTCGCATGGTAAGAGAAATATGATATCTTGGAATTATGTTTTGTTTTATTATTTTTTGGATTAGTTTTTTATTAGTTGTTTGGTCAGATATGATCCTTCGTACTTTAGGATTTTGTTCTGTATTCTGTTCTCTCCTAGTGATTTTCTATTTTTTAATTTCCTTAATGTTTCCTTTACCTCTTTCCCCTCAATATTCAATTCTTCGTTTGTCGTCACCTCGGCGTTGGATTATCGTCACCTTTAGCAAATGGGGATCGAAAGTAGTCTACTCCATGTTTCCTTCTGAATGTAGTTTCGTTTTTATTAGTTCGTTCATCTATTTTCTTTGTCCTCTGAATATTTTCCATATTTTTTTTTCAAATAGCGATTCGGACCAACGCAACGTACAGAAATCGGGATAAAACGAAGACTCTAATAGGGCAAATATTCGACCAGTAGCATTAGTGGGCGGACGACAATTACAATCGTTGTCATATAGTATTTAATAATGTCAGCCATCATTTGTAGACGAAACGTTAATAAGAAATTTTAGAAGAAAGAAAGAATTACCAGCTGTTCTCCGTGCGAAGAGGTTTACTCTCCGGCTCTGGAACTCACTTCAGCCATGTATGTTACCTGAATCAAATTAATTTAATACTGAACATCACAGTTATTTTACATGATGTATAATCTTTTACAACTATATGTAATTTAAAGGTTTTTACCCAGGTATTTTGGTGGCTCAAGCATTATAACCTTGCAATTTTAAAATTTAAATCTGATGATGGACTGTTTAGTCCGAAAACGTTTGTTTTTTTATGTGTGCCCTTTTAAGGGTCTTTAAATAAATATACCCATTTACGAAGACTAACCTCTTTTTTGTGATACGTGGTACACAGCCAGCTACAGGAATTGTTTTCCTTGTGGATTTTATTTAATAAGAAATAATTCCAGAAACTGTCTATAAACCTCAAAAACAATGCATAATTACAAAACACTAGCCGCAAAAACCTAACCTTCTTTATTTTTTTTAACTTTTCTACATAAACTTTATATTTAATATTTGATATACTATAATTTGATGAGATACTTTGATGGGCAGGTCACGTAGCCCGATATAATGACAACAGGTGGACACGGAGAATTCTAGAATGGAGACCAAGGACGACAACAAGAAGCATGGGAAGACCTCAAAAAAGATGGGTAGATGACATAAGAGCAGTGGCAGGCAAACAGTGGATTAGATTGGCGCAAGATAGAGAAAGATGGAAGCAATTGGGAGAGACCTACATTTAGGAGTGGATGGAAAATGGTTGATAAAGAAGAAGAAGATTTGATATAATCAATACATATTTTTGATTTGTCGCTGGGAAGAATCTGAGGACTTGGTCCACTGATATCCTCGCCAGTCGCTCTGTCCAGAATGAACTCTTCTGGGAGGTCACCTCCTGTTGACCTCTTAGTATTTCTAGTATTCATCACCTATGAATACAAGAAATGAAAAATGTAGATATAATTATTACTAGAAAGTCTGACTTAGCATACCTACCTAGAAAGCCTGAAGAGATAATTTTTGCCTCAAGTTCTTAAATAGATAAAAAACAAATCTAAACGATAGAATCTAATTTTATTATTTAGCTTCATTATTTAAACATTTGGAACATCATATAGTTTGCAGTTTTTGGCATTTTTTACACATTGGCTTATTACAGCCGTGTCACTGATTGAAAGTATGATTCCCTTTACAAAATATTTTTAACTGACTTTTTGTCGTTTTTAAATAGTAGCAATGCTGGTTATTGGTAAAACCGGTGTTGCTGGGTGTAGTACCAGATTTCGGGAGCCAAGGTATGGAGCTGTAATTCGACAAATAGCTGAAAAATAAACTTACGACGACTGAGTCTGCTACTGGTTACTTCTTTATAATAATGATCCATGCATTTTTGCTTCTAAGTCAAGAATTTTATAAAACACGTGCATTGGTCATTGTCTTGAGACAACTTTTGTAGTATAAAGACGCGCCATTTGGTCCACTACATCAACCCCATATAAAAACTTACTATTTCCAAGAAGATTTTGTCCATCGACAGCAATATCCACTGATTGATGTAACAGGCTCAACAAAAGCACATGTTTGTAACTCTTTACTTGATAAACAGTAAGTGTAATTTTTTCGTCGCTCTGGAATATATGGTAACATACAATTCTCTATTTTTACACTTTACGCTAAGAGGAACTTCCTTTCTGTTGAAATTCAAAGTACTAACAAGACTTGTTGATTTCTTTTGCAATGCCTTGGCCAAGACGTAAAGTAATTATCTGTCTTAACATGTTTGTCCTTTCCCTGTTGATTTTCCATTATTCGCAAGACAATGTGTTCACCAACACTTGTAGCTTTATTGCGTAGATGATCAGTACCAGTATAAGAGTAACCATTTACAATATATTTATTTCACGCTAGCCAAAAGCCAAAATTTGTATGCCAAACTTATCCGGCTTATTTGATATGTACTGTATGAATGGACACATGGCTTTAGAAGACAGTAGTTGTTC